TTAGTATCCTCTAGGTTTTTTTGGAAGCCCTTCACTCTTATGAAGGAAAGGAAAAACATATATCAGTTTGATTGTAATTCTCAATATTAATATTATCTGTTAAAACACTGATTGCAAACAATATATCACGAGTTGAAACTCTACTTTGCTTTAATCAGCCGGGTAATAATACTACCTCTCACATTTAAAGTATCACTCCATGATTAGACATACATCGTTACCTGGCAAATAATTTAAATCAGTGTTCATTCTATAGGAGTGGACGAGTGTAATCAACCAAAGTTCAAGAAAATTAGTACTATGTTAAAATAAATGCTTTTTTACATTTTTGGATAGTAGTTGTTGTTCTTCCAAATATTTGAAAATCAGCTAACTTAACTAATGAAAAATATATTCTTAATAAAAAATTGTTTTTAATCTGTTATTTAAGTCTACTATTATCACAATGATTCATTATTGAGAGAGGACATAAATTATGTTACATTGTATTTGTAATTATTTTATTATTCAAGTTTATACCGTCTCCAATAATAAACCTTAATTAGTGGTTAATTGTTCGCGCGAGAGACTGATAGGTCCTGAGTTCAAATCCCACGAGCAGGGATCGTGGATACGAATTGGTGAGAAGTCCCACAATAGGATGAATTGGCAGTTCAGTGCTTTAAGGTTTTCCATGGTGGTCTAGCTTCAATTGGCCCATGATCTCAACTATTAAAATAATTATAATATCAACAAAATCCCCTTCTGATAATAAACATAATGTTTTGAAAGAAATTTCATACACATAGTCCCCTTTATCATTTTGAAAAAAGCAAGAACAAAGATTCTAGCAGAATAGCATGAATTCATTTTATTTCGTAGGCTCTCGTTTTTAACAACCTGAATCGCGACACTACGAATCATCGTCAAACAATCAATTGAGTGAAACTCGTCACTATATATCAACTTCATTGATTATGAGAAGGCATTTGACAATGTAAATAGGAGAACGTTATGGAAAATTTTTCGACACTACGGAGTTCCCGAGAAGATTGTCAATATTATCCGGAACTCATACGACGGAAAACAGTGCAAAGTAGTGCATGGAGGACAGCTGACAGATGCATTCCAAGTAAGGACCGGAGTAAGAAAAGACTGCCTACTCTCTCCCATCCTCTTTCTTCTGGTGGTCGACTGGATTATGAGGACCTCGACATCTGAGGCAAAACACGGCATACAATGGACAGCTCAGAACCAATTACACGATTTGGACTTCGCAGATGAGCTAGCTCTCCTATCGCATACACACGAACAAATGCAGATAAAAACAGCCAGTGTAGCAGTAGTCTCTGCATCAGTAGGCCTCAACATACACAAAGGGGAAAACCAAGGTCCTCAAATACAACACAGAAAACAGCAATCCAATCACTCTTGATGGCGAAACTCTAGAAGATGTAGAATCCCTCACGTACCTGGGAAGCATCATCGATGAACAAGTAGGGTTAGATGCAGACGTGAAGGTGAGGATTGGCAAAGCAAGGGTCGCATTCCTTCAATTGAACAACATATGGAACTCAAAACAACTGTCAACCAACATCAAAGTCAGAATCTTCAATACCGACGTCAAGACAGTTCTACTGTATGGAGCTGAAACTTAGAGAACTACTACAACCACCATGAACAAGGTACAAATATTTATAAATAGTTGTCTACGCAAAATACTCAACATCCATTGGCCGGATACCATCAGCAACAGCTTTCTGTGAGAGAGAACAAACCAATTTTCAAGTGAAGATGGAATTAGGAAAAGACGATGGAAATGGATAGAACATACATTATGCAAATCATCAAGCTGAATCACAAAGCAAGCGGTAACTTGGAATCGTGGAGGGAAGCAGAAAAGTGGAACGCCAAAGAACACATTACGTCGGGAAATAGAGGCGGATATGAAAATTTATTTATTTATTTATTTTAACACATAAATATCGGTACAAGAAGGCACCAAATACATATGCGCCACACAGATCTCATTTGATAAGTGTGAGGGCTGTGATACTGCCCGGGTTCCCAAACCGAAGCAGGTGGTTTTCTTAGTGGGCCACACCCCGAGCCTTTGACCTGAAGGCCTGATCCACAAGGCAGTGGAGCATCGTGAGGAGATGCAGTCCCATGGTAGCCGGTGACCAACGATTGGTTCATACGTCATTTGTTCCCGCAGGATACTGGAGCCCATGTGCACCATTGGTTTGGGATCCGGTTAAAGCGCCGGACATTCGCTTTTTCTCCTCTCATTTTCGTAAACAACACCCCCGCCACGAGAAGGCAGTGAGTAGGACTTCTTTGGCAGGGGCTGTATACGCGTGGCCATATGAGAGCATTTCGAGAGGGGGAGCGGACTCCCCCCACTCTCGGCCGTACCAGGGCATTTGGGGGCGGCGGATATGAAAAGGGTGAATAAGAACTGGAAAGAGCTGGAAAGTATTGCCCAGGACAGGGTTGGATTGCGAGTGCTTGTGGGTGGCCCATGCTCCTTCGTGAGGAGTAACAGGCGTAAGTAAGTAAGAGAAAAAAATTTAAATAACATTCATTATGCTTTAATTTACCACACAAAAAACAAACAAACGATCACCCACTCTAGGATTTATCGAACAATATTATTGAGAGACATAATTTATTTACATTTGCAATAGAAACCTTTTGATGATAAACTATTCATTCTGTTATGTTATTGATTAAATAGCAACGAAATATATAAAGATTGAATTAGGATGTAATTAAATGTTTCATGTTTTATTCATTAGGAAAACAATTAGATCTTTACAAATTAATATAAATTGTTTATAATATATATATGAGAAAGTTGTTTATTAAAGATTTATTACTAGAATGTTAATTCATTATATACTGATTAGAATATATTGAGTATTGAATTAATAAAGTTTATTTTAACAGCTCAAAATTGAATATCTCTTTTATTTAGTTATGTCATTATGATATTTAATTGCTGACAGTTATATCATTTGTATAATTGTTAATATAAATTAATCAGTCTTTTAACCAGTTTATAGGCATCAAGATATGAAATGAATAAATTCTTTGACAAATAATATATAGTTCATATGAATGTATAGTGTAATGAATGAATTATATTTTGATAACAGAATTTATTAAGGAAGCTTTGTATGATAACTAATATCATGTCATATATAATTTATAATATGATTAATAGATACTCTCAGGAAATAATGAGAAAATTTGTTTACCATTTTAATGTTAAACAGCGTCAAAACTTTAGAAATGTTATTCTTTACTTGAAATCTAGAGGGTGGTAGATGAACTCCTTGATAAATTTTGTTTTCCAAATAGTATAAACTTGAAATAATTTCTTTGAAATAAAAAAAATCTTCTATGATGATTTTCGCTTATGTTAAATTCTGAATTTCACCATTTTTATAAATACAATTTGCATTGATGTCCATTTAAAGGAATGAATATGTTTGACACAGCCAATTTACTTTCGGACAACAGACGAGCAGATGGGTAGAACACGTTGAGGAACTGTTGAATAGATCAGCTCCACTGAACACACCAACATCGAAGCAACACACACAGACATTCCCATAGCTATCACTCCATCAACAAACGAAGAAATCAGCATTGTCATCGGACATATCAAGTGTGGGAAAGCGGTAGTACCAGACAACATAACAGCTGAACCATTGGAGTTATGCATAGAATTAAATGCAAAGATGTTTTGGGTTCACTTCGAGAAGAAGTGTTAGGAACAATTAGCGACCGACTGGGAAGAATGATAACTCATCAAGATACGAATGAAAGGAGATGTGAGTAAGTGTGAGAACTACACAGGCATCACACTACTGTCAGTACCAGGAAAGCTTTCCAACGGAGTGTTGTTGAACCGGTCGACAGATTCAGTAGACGCACAAATTCATGATCAACAGGTTGGATTCCGTGAGGATCGATCGTGCACAGAACAATTCGCGACACTACAAATCATTGTTGAGCAATCGATTCAATGGAACTCGTCACTAAATGCAACTCGCTTGAATATGAGAAAGCATTTGACAGCGTGGATAGGAGATAACTATAGAATGTTTCATGACACTATGATAAAGGTGAGGAGATCATCAACAACATATGCAATTCATTGAATGAACTATAGTGTAATGTCGTGCATGAGGGACTGCTCACAAATGCATTGCGATTGATGATCAGTGTCAGTCATGACTGCCTCATTTCATTCTCTCTATTTCTGCTGATGATCAAACAGATTATGAATGTCTACACATCTAAGAGGAAACTCAGTATACAATGGACTGCTTATTTAATACGAGCATCAATACAATACTATTTTACGAAGTTAAAATTCGGAGAACTAATAAAACCATCATCAAAATGTTACAGGTATTTATAGACAATTGTCCACGCAGTTGGCGGTAGTAGAAAAAGAGTCAATAATAATGTTGATGGGATGGCCAATAATCCATGAAAGTTATCAGGGATTTGTAAGTAATACCATATGCATTCATATGAACGGATAAAGAAAAGCCTCCACTTTTTACTAAAATGTAATGATTATCTCTAAACTGTACATTTGACATTTCATTTCGAAAAGAATATGATAAATGTTAATTTTTATCCATGTCTAATGTGCGATAGCATAACACTTGACAAAATAAAAAAATGATACTTTGTAAACCGATAGCTTCTAAATAATCAGAAATTGTTTACAATATATATATCCTACATCCTATATATCCTATACGAATGTATTAGCAAACTGTGAAAAACTTGTATGTCACTGAGTCTAACTTATCACTGAATAATTAATGAAATATTTTATGTGGCCATTATACTCGTGTCCTACGACTAAAAAGAACTCGCATGAAAGAAAAATAACTGATTGACTATGTTTTATATCTGATTCATTCTATAACACTTGCTATTATCGTTCATAATAAATTGTAATGTGTGTGTGTGTGTTAAAATAAATCACACTTAACGAATAAAATTATAATACTTTTTTCTATTAAAAGATAAATTTTTATCACAGTTAAACGTTTTTACAAAATTTCATTTAGAATAACCGAATGGTAAGTTGAAAAGAACGAAGTATAAATGATAAATGACAGTACAGTTTCTTTTCTGTTACTTATACTTTTAAAGTTGGTTTAGACGAGTTGAAAAATCCACAGCAGACTATAAAACTACGTAATAATAAATAGAGAGAAATACAAATAGAACATAAGAGCAAAATACTAATAAATAGAAATTCTGGATTCATTTCGTCCAGTTTTTCTTGAATATTTGTTGAATAACTTAAACTAAATGGGATCCGGGTTGGTAAATATATTGGTCCTTTAACATGTATTAATCGATTTGAAAATGAGTTTAATATATTTTGATTTGAAATTCCGCTTTGATTATCATCATCTTCTATCAGTTTTGGAAGTGAACTAAAAGCCAGAAATATATTAGGTCGATAATAGTAAAATAGAAGTAAGTTCAACAAAATGTCAATTTTCACAGTTTTAAATCATGGACTAATCTTAGAACACCGTTAAAAACATGGAACCACTTGACGGCCGTTTAGTCTCATAGTAAGACAAAACGATTGTCTAGTGATTTTAGGTTTTCAATGGTGGTTTGGCTAAAATCAGTTTAAAACTCTGGAAATTCTATAATCTCCACGATCTCCCTGTATTAAAATATCAATTATCATTTTTTAAAATTTTAATTAAATTCGAAGGGTTAAATTGCTTCAGTTCAATGTAGGGATGCTTATAACTTTAGCCAAACATAAGATGATTTAAATGGTATTATATATACATGATATTCTTTATCCACACGTTGTACTAGCAAGTCGAATGCAACTGGTTTATAATAATTATGCAGCTGTTTAATAGTTATTCGATGATATAAAATGTAGATAGTCTTAACAAAGAATATTTTGGGATTATTACTATTATTGACTAACACCATGTCAAGCTATATTTTTGCATGGTTATTGTCTTCTCTTCAAAATGGTGCTAATCGTATTGTTGACAGAACAAATGAAAATTTCAAAAATACTTCCAAACAGATGAATGCTATCGTCAGCTAAACCACGTTTATCTAAAACATTTGTCAAATCTAGAAAATTTAATTCAGAAGAAATAAGTGAAAAACATGTTTTCCGTTGCGTTCTTAGAGCTTATAGATTAAACTTCAAAGCTTTCACTGATTCCCTGAACAATATCATCAACCCCTACTTCTTACAGAACTGAGCTTTTCACTCGTTTCATAAATGTTAAATGACTTTGTACTTATGCCATAGTTTGTTATTAGTTGTCTCCCTCTTATCCAACATAATTTTTCTCGCAATCAGTGCTATTAATTCTGTAGATGATGCCACGTTTGTCTTCATTTGGTTTTCTGTTTTACTGTCTTAATTGGACATGACACAAAATCATAGGGTCAAGACTACCATTAACACAAATTTGATTGAAAAAAGTCGAACTTCTTGGTCGTGGAAATGCTAAAATGCTGGAGAACGTTCAGAAACGGTGTTCAGAACAATAGGCAATTAATAAACGCAAACAAGCAACATATCCTCTGCAGACGACCAGTCGCAAACAAAGCCATAAGTACAAACTCATTAAACATTTGTGAAATAATAAAAAATGCCCACTTCCGTATGAAAAACCCTAACAACGTTATCTACTACAACCATCAAACCTTCACAATTAAATTACCCAGGTCCGGGAACACAGTACTACTAAACGAATTCGCTTGATCTGTAAATTATCTTCCTCAATGAAAAACAAGTGAATGAGTTTGAGTTATAATTGCAATATAGAATTTCGATTATTTTCCCAATACTAAACATTGTACAGTAATAAAACGTCACTGTATAACTAAAGGATAAATTTCTCAAAAATAAACAATAATGTGCTTACGTATATGATCTGACCAAAAACACTTTCCATATAATAGGCATTGAATCGGTTGAATATCCATCCATGTACCCTGTGGGGATGAAAAACGCTCTCAAATACAGACCCATCACAGCTGCAGCCACAGAGGTCATGTGTGATAGACAACCATCTGGAATAATTTTCAGATGAAAAATGTGGTTTCAAAAGACTGGTCAATAATAACGAAGAAAGCAACAGGAATAACAAATAATAAATAATTTCAGGAACTAAGTGAAGGGCTCTATATACACCTTTAAACCATCAGACCTCCGCAATCACAATAGGCTAAACGAAAATCATATTTGCAGGTCAGTAATAAAAGCTCTGGGGTCTTTGATCACCGAGTACCTGATAAATTAACAGCCTCAGAGAAACTAAGAATTATCGTAAAGCGATTGCCCGAGTAGACAGTGGTTCATTAACTATCACACGACCTCATATAAGTAGTTTGTCAAAGTGATTTGACGAAAACAAGAGTAGCAATTTTTAAAGAAGACCAGGGACTCATTTGGCTAGGTCTTCATCAGCTGCTTACAACTTATAATACTCAGACGTTGAAATGAAAAATGATATTTAGAATGTGATAATGGAAAGGAGGCTAATCAATAGTGAATGTTAATTTGATTGTATATATCAGTCAGATGTCTCAGAATCTCAGGTTTCTTAGAGTTCGTTCAGGCAATCCGAAGTAAATTTTTATTCCCGTTCTATTAACACAACTTCTGTGTTATAAACATGTAAATCAACACGTGAGATGTGCACCTGTGAACCTTTCATTATATTAACGGATATGTTCATCTTAAAAAGAGGGTAGCTTTAGCTGTAAGATAAGTTCCCTCGAGTGTAGAGTTTAGCATTTTACTCTTTTCCCTCGGACATCATTATCAGTGAAGGTTCACCCCCACACTTCCTAGTCAGACTTGGAATATATCTAGCTAGTGTTAACAAGCTGGGTTCCCTAACTAGGGAGAGTAATTTGATATTTACTAAAAAACACTGCAAAGTATAAAAACCTTTATATTACTTAAATAGTAATCACAGTTAGTACATGCTTTGAACTGTTCAATTATTATTATTTATCATTTGAATATATAAACATTGGTACAAGACGGCACCAAATATATATGCGTCACACAATACAAATGAGGTTCTGAAAAGACGGAGAATGAAGGTGAGTATGACAAAAAGAACAGCAACAAAAAACAGAAATTAGTGTGTAAGAGTGAAATAATAATAGCCATAATGGGAGAAGCAGTTTAGTTGGGAAAAATAAAACCTTGAATAATTCTTTTACTTAAAGAAGTTACGTTTACTTTTATAAAGAAAGTAAAAGAAAGTCAGAGCAGGAACTCCACTGGCTTCCGTTCTATATTATTTATGAGAACGTCTCCAACCACTATGTTGCACCATCTCTAGGATGCCAACTAGAAGTCATACATGCCAGATGTTTGTCTTAGATTACTCTATAAAATTAATTTGAAATTAACCCAAGACAAAAACAATTAGTGATTCAACAAGAAAGATTGATTAAGCGAAGAGTTTTCTTTTCGGCGAATCCATTTTCAAAGCTATGCAATCGCGAATACATATACTTATTTTTACAGGATGACAATAATACTGATAATATAAAGTTCTTTTTCCACTGTAATTATTTGTGTTCTCGGCTTCATTTTCTTATCAATGAACATCAAAGGATACTCGTTTTCGATAAGTATCTCCTTTAAGAGGCCCAATTCTTCATCTATGACTTCGGGACTACAGATTCTTCGTATTCTTGTGGCGAGTGTTATTACTATGTTTCTTTTCCGACTGATGGGAAGCCAGCTGTGGAAACTTGATAGTTGGCCATTCCACATGGGTTTCCTTTAGATTGATCTTGTTAGAGCACCATCTTGCTTTCTTGTCATTTCCACATCAAGAAAGTGGATATTTTGTTTGTTTTCAACTTCTAGTATGAATTTTATTGCTGGTTGGCAATTATTAAACGTCTTCAAGAGATTATTCAAGTCATATTTGTTGTCACAAATGATAAAGATATCATCTACATAACTTTTATACAAGTGGAGGTTTCCTGTAATCGTTTTGAGTTGGTTGTTTTCCAAACTGGACATGAAGCAATCTGCTAGTAATGGACCAAATGGGTATCCCGTTGCGATGCCATCCTTCTGTCTATAAATTACGTCGTTGAATGTGAACTGTACATTGCAAGTGCAACGTAGTAATAGTTCCTTCAAATCCACAATCGGTATTCCGATGTTAATCTCACTATTGTTTACGTAATACAGATAAAATCAATGGTCTCTGTGAGTGGAGCATTAGTGAATAATGATTCGACATCCAGAGATAGCATAATTTTGTCATTTACATTCACTTCTTTTATGTGATGGAGTTTTGTTCTCTGAGCTGGATGGTTTGATCGTGGAGCTTTCATCGTTCTTCTGAACGACATCATCAGCACAAACTTCAGATAGCTATCCAGCTCAGAGAACAAAACTCCATCAAAATCATCCACCTGAGCTACAAATCTTCTCCACTTCTTTTATGTGCTCGATAAATTCAAAAGTGTCACATACAGAGTGTTTACAAATGTGTTTTCTAACGGGTTCTAGGAGATTTGCCAGCCACTTTGCTAAAGAGTGAAAAGGGGATGATCAGGACATATCGAAAATTGGTCTGGTCAGATTGCCAAAACCAATCAATGAGAAAAACAAGACTGAAATTATAGAAAAGAAATTCTCAAGAGAATGAAAAATGATCAGATAATCGACAGCATCAATAATACCGCGATTATACGGTTTGCCAAAAATAAACATATGTCAGGATCCCCTTACCACTTTATAGCAAAGGATCTTTCAGGATTGTCTCCCAAAAATACGCAAACTTGGCTTACCTCACAGTGGAAAAAGAACTTTATATTATCAGTATTATTATCATCCTGTAAAAATGAGTATATATATTTGCGATTGCATATAGCTTTGAAAATGAATTCACCGGAAAGAGAACTCTTCGCTAAGCCAATCTTTCTTATTCAATGTCTTAATGGGTGTATTTCGTTTATTAAAAAATTAGTGATTGATCAATTGTTATTATTCTTGGAATTTATTTAACACAATAATGCTTAGTAATACACTGGGGAAATATATTTTCCACATGAATCTGATAAATCTAAACTGGTTTTTTCTAGATTACGTAGGGTTGACAACTATTGAACCACAATGTCGCTATCATTATGCTACTATGTGAGGTCAAGTGATTATATTTTTGTTTATTCATATTTTCAATTGTTGCTAATAAATTATCACTTAAAATTTATTGATTCTATATTATTTTTATCTAATTAGTCTACTAATAACAGATTCTTTTTGACTAAAAAGTTGACCGTTCAAACTAGATCGAAATATTTGAAACTGAAGTCAGTATTAGGTAAAAAAGAAAGAAAGAAAGAAAAGCTAGATACTATTCTAGAATTATTTCCATTTAGTTTTTGCATAAATTTTATTGTCTTCATTCTAATGCTAATTGTTAAACTATATATTTAGAAGAAAATTACATGTACTTGACAGGTACTATTTTTCACAGTTATAATAATTGGAATAAAATATTTAGACTAAATAGTAGTCTTAATAGTAAATGGCTTATTAAATAATAAGAGAATGGTCAAATGTACTTGTCGAATACACTTTAATCCAATAATGGTCAGTATAGAGTGTTTTAATTAATTTTACTTTTCCTTGATAAGAAATAGTTATCAAAATAGGCAATAACAGTAGATTTTGGACTTATATCAGTACCACAAATATTTGGCTTAATCTTATAATGTGATCATCTTTTTTAAAATTGCATGGTAAACACGATGTGCTTTGTTTGAAGTATGAGAAGAGAAGACATGCTGAATCTTACTTAGAAAGTTTCGAACTGAATTATATGTATTTTTAATGTCAAATACAGACTCTCTTTACTTTTAAAATCATTGAAGAGACTCTTTCAATGTATCAGCTCTTCACACTATATGACTTATTTCAGGTGTATCATGTAAATATTTTAAATGTCACTGGTGTAACTACATTCGGAAACTCAGAGTAAGCACATTTCAGAAGTGTGAGTCAAAAAATTAATATGATCCATTTATTAAATACTCTTGAAAATATTTATAGCTTTAAAGTATTTGCGGATGATGTGAAATCATGATGAATTGTGAAAAGTGAGAAAAGGTTCACCATACTCACCACATGTTAGTAATATAACAAACCATAAAGATATCTAACTGAATGAGAAACGGTTCATTTGTTACCTAGTGATAGAGTAATTTACTTAACTATAAAGAAAACAAATATGAGACATAGATTGATAAAAGCAGCCCATATTTTAGATAACAGAAAACTCATACTCCATCTCGTTCATATTTAAACTTTAATTATGTTCTTATGCATATAGAACGATCCAATGGAAATTTCATAGGAGCATTTAAGAAATAATATGTTAGATACCTAAAGAAACATAAAAATATTCAACCGTGAACAAATCAACATGACTTTTATATTTGTAATAACAACATAAACGTCTTTTGATGACTCATATCAAAGGCCAGTGGACTTCAGTAACCTTATCAAATTGATTGGTGACAGGCCCTAAACGTCACAGTAGACGAGAGCAACTTAAAGAAAGACTGACTAAAAATAAATACAAAGTCGAAGGCAGTGGCGCATAGCGAAAGTGAAGGAGATAAAGAAGGTAGTGATAAAAAGTAGATGTTTAAACTCATCAAATGGATATAGGTTAATGAATTAGCTATTACTGAGATTATTATAAGAAATACTTGCCAGTGGTAGACCCTGAGATCAGGAGGATGGAACGATGAGTGAATCAATGTGAGGAATAATTTAACCGGAATTCATCGAATTCCTAGTTGTTCAATTTCCTAACAGGATGAATGGATGATCTACCTACTTTTAAAAATCATTGATAACTTGAAACCAAAGACACTATTAAGAACCAATTGATTGATTACAGAGATCTTTATTCCCAATAGTTCAGAATTATCATTAAAATTGATAGAGATGGTAAGTAGATACTGGAAGCCGGGATTCAGTTCTGAATAACTGGTTTTAATAGATGACTGTCTCCATTTAT